TTTGCAAATCTGACAAACAACCAAGTTCTGCATGAGCTCTGTGCTGAAGGAAGTATCTCAGTGTGAGCCCTAGTTGCTGTGGAGAGTTGACAATACTCTGCTGTTCCAGGATTTCAGATGTTACTGTTGCTTGAATTCACTGAGATAACTGAATTCATCTTTGCTAAAGATCATTAGCATTGAGAAGAAAGCAGCAGTAGTTACTCTTCAGGGCCAAAACAGGTCTTAATAAATTGAAAATACGGTAGTAGAAAGAGGAGACAACTCAGCCAATTTTCTGAAGTTTATATGATTGCATGCTGTGTGTCTGTGTGCCTCATGCTTTCCTAGTAATAAAATGAAACTCTTCACTGTTCTGGTCATGTTACCCCAGACACTGGGTAAATCCACAGTCCTAAAGAAACTTTTTTTGCTCCAGAGTGTGAAATGCTGCATACAAACATAAGGGTCTTTGCTTTCAAAAAGTATTGCTCCTTCATTGCCACCTCTAGAATCTCATCCTCTGGATTTGTGATGGGAATAAGGATAAGCAGGTGACCGCGGGTGGGTGAGGAGGCAGCACAGCCAGTGCCTCAGCCCCTTCACTTTCAATGATTTTGACAGTTCTAACTGAAAATCAATTGAAATTTGAGGCATTACTAGGCAAACAAGTGCATTGTAAAAGTGCCCTGGGATTAGCTTTCTTTTCACTTATTTTGTACAAGCAGTAGTGAGCATGCAGGAAAACCTAATTGTAGTAGGAAGGAGAAGCTCGGTTGAAGTTCAGACCTGTTACTTTATAAAAAACCATTTGAGGTTTGAGCAACAGACCTGTGGAAAAAAATTACTGGGTATACCTGAATAATACTACAGGGAAATTGGAAGTTTGTCATAAGGAAATTTAGGGAAGGTGCTCTTTGAGGAAAAAATTCTTTCAGTGTTCTTTCTAGAAGTTGCAACTTACTTTGGTCTGGAGTCTGGTGATACAGTTTCAGGTTAAACTAGAATATTGCTGTCTTCTACTGACTGCTCTAGGAGTTTTCTGTAGGAATGACTGATTCCTGATTCTGTTTAGGACATGGAGCCAGCTACTTAAGAGGAGACCTCCTGCAGCTTCTCTGTCACACATGGCCAGAATAGGGATGAGAAACTTGAACTATTTGTGCAGCTTGAAATATGGTAGTTCTACAATTAATGCAGAGGGCTAAGTTTCACTGCTGCTAGTTTCTACAATAGCAGAGCCCTTAGCCCTTAGCAGAGGGCTAAGTTTCACTGCTGCTAGATTGCTAAAATAGGTCTATCACCCTATTAAGTTAAAGTCTGTAGCTAATTATTTTTGACATGTTGGAGTTGTTGCCCAGACATGTACTATAAATGACTCCCAGGCCAACTGTGACTGCTTGTTTATTGTGACTTTCTGTTCTGTGCAGGTAACATAGTGGTGCATTTCATGCTCCCAGAGACGAGAGAGAGGTACGAATTGGAAAAGCTCTGGACTCTCCATTCCTATGACGACCAGTTAGCTCAGATGATGCCACAGTTGCTGCCAGAAGACTTTATACTGGGACTTGCTCCCCAAGAGCAGTGACTGTCACCTTGCAATGAGCTGCAGCAAGAGCTTAGTAGAGCTACTGAGTTGCCGAGGTGGAAAGTGAAGAGTGTGCCCTCAGGCTTGGAGTGGGATTACTTGCTGCAGTTGACTAGCACAGAACAGGATGTTTTACTGGATGTGCCTATGTAAGGTTCTGAACAAGCTATTAAACTGATCAGGCTTTACCATAAAGAAGGAATCAAATCATAAGGAAACTTCATGGTGGAGTCACCGTCTCAAGGGTGGCTATGGTGAGAAGCGTGGGGAGCTGACAGCTACTGAAGTTGCTTATCTGAAAGTGTCTCTGGCCTTCTGGCTTTTATTTTATGGGTGAAAGGTCTTACGGTAGCAATAACACACATGACACATCAATCCTGCAAAAAGTGAGTACTGCAAGTTGGAGACCTGCCTGGAGCAGTATGGCTTAAGTAAAACCTTTTTGCAGTAGGTCAGGTGCATCTTGTTATGGCGAAGCAAATCATGCTGCCTTGGAATTGAAGGAAGAGGGGAAATGGACTGGTACTAAGTGAGCACCCAAAACCAAAGAGGAGTGACAAATACACCTTGAGTTAACAGAAATTCAGTCCTTTAGCTAAGGCTAATCTGTTCTTAATTAAAAACAAAACAAAAACACTGAAGAGCTTCAACTCCTTTGCGTGTTAAAAGATGCAGTTCGTTCTAAGTGTGTCTGGCCTCTCTCCTGCTTTTCCTCTCACCTAGTTTCTGGCAAAAGACTCTGAGGCAAGAGGCTGTGACAGTGTAAACTGCCCCCCTGCCCTGTGCAGGGAGGGGAGCAGGGCTAGAGGCAGCCCGAGTCCCGGGGCACTGCTTGCTGCTGAGGGACAGTTCAGCACTGGCAGGAGTCCTTGTGCACTGGTCACACGCACTGGCTGCTGCCCTTCCTAGCATCTGGGCAGGAGAGCTTTAAGGCAGTAAGAACAGTTGCCTATATGTAAAACATGTAGCATTGGATTCGGACCCCTTCCCCTTGGGAGAAGCTTGCCCCGCCAGGCTAAATCTTGAGGGTGAAGACCTTTTTCTTCTGAAGTTGCACAAGCTGCTCCAAGCTCTGCCTGAGTCTGCCCCCTGCACAGCAGCTGCTGCTAGTGCAAGGACACAGTGCACCCTTCCCCTTCAGGGAGAGAGCAAGGAAGGAGGAATGCCAGCCGAGGGCTCCTTCAGGGAAGGTTGTGCCATTTGGAGTGTGTGCAGGCAGCGGGCGCTCATGTCCCGCTGGCAGCAGTGACCTAGAGACAACCAACTGCACCAGAGGGCTACCACAATAGATGAAATCAAAATACGAGCCATGGATTAGTGATAGACATTGCAGAAAGTGTAGGTGGAGAAAGCAGCTGAATTTTTCATCCCATGAGCATGAAATGGTTCATAAGTTTAACAGCTGTTGAAAATGTTAACATCTTTTACAGATATGGACTACCCACAGTTGTTTTCTTTCACAAACACTAAGTAGCAGTCCCTGCAATGCCACTGCTCTGAATCACTTGAAATGTGCCCAACTATATCCGAAGTAACTTGCCTCCCTTTCACAAGTCAGATTTTATTCTGGCTCCC